AAATACTAAGAAAACACGAAAAAATTAAAACGTCAAAAATCATAGAACGGATATACACATTTTAACTTTAATAAGTAGTATTAGATTGTAAATTATATCTGTGAAAGTAAAACTATGGTACAAACTGAAAATTCGCTAACTTTTACTTACTTGGTAAACAGCATCATTGATAAAAGTCTCGCCAAACAAACTACGCCAGAATGAAACCAATAAGAGAAAATCTACTGTTCAAGCCCATGCTCCCAGGCAGACCCTAAATTTCAGCTTTTACTCGACGCTCGCGCTTGCATGCATGCGAGTGGTTTGTTTTGTTTTTCTTTTTTTTTCGGATGGCGAAACACGCTGCTCGGTACATTTCGGGATTCCTAACTCGCGTGAAAAGCTGCAAAAGCCAATACAAACCTTTACGTGACGCGGTGTGGTGACCTCTCACGCCCTAAAATGTTGCGCCAAATTCTGGACAAGGGACTTTCGACAATACTAGCATTTGTGTGATTTCTGCGCTCCCAATACTTTACCTTTGTCCGCTGCAGCTGTATTAAACGACAACGATCATGCCGTACTAACTGATGGCGATTTTAGTTGTGTGTTACTTTACAAAAATTCTAATGTATTTTGTGGGTACTCCAATGTATTTGTATGCTGATACTGTGAAGTTTTACAGGCGAGTCTGTTTACCACGGAAATTTGATATTCTTACTTTTAGCCGTGTATTGTAACTTTTTTCTGAAAACTACTACCTGTGTAACGAAGTAATGACTTACAGCCACAAAACATCATCGATATCCTTCGAAGCATTTTGACCTTGTAATTGTAGTGAGAAAGGGAATGAACACCTATATATCTGCATATCTTAATACTATTTTCTTCTTTTGAGAGCTTTTCCAACAGCAGACGATGCTAATTATCGACTGTCCGCCCACTATGTCCTCCTTGGGGGTGTACATTGACCTTCACACTAGACACACTTGCGAATTCCTCGGTCTTTGTTCAACAAATTCACAAGGCCTTCCGCGAAAACACGCATACATGAAAGACAAGGACAACCATGTCCACAGCGGGACTCGAACCCGTTATCCTTTCTATTGAGGCGCTGAGTCGTCACATGCTCTAGCCATCTCGGCCTTCCAGGTTGGCTCATATCATAATGCTATAATAGCACATTATCTAAACCACTATTTATATTTTCATTCTTCCTGGTAAATCAAATTTCAATCTCCCTGACTCGTGATTGCTAATTTCTGTGTAAGGGATATCTTTATTTCTTTACCTCTCAATGAAGTACGATATAGTAGATTAAAATGACTCTTCAAATTCGTCAAGTCGAAGATTTTTATGTTTTTCCGTAGGAAAATATAGTAATTCCGAAGTATAATATTTCACAGCATTTAACCATTGTTGGCACCTTGAAACTGTCAAACAATCTTTTTTCTAGAATTGTTAAAAGTTTAAAGAAAATTTTAAAACATTTTCCAAAGTTTACCTGAAAACTTGATTGGTCATGTTGTGAGAAACAATACATGTCGAGCCAAACATTATTTTAGGTGATTGAACCTCCTTCTCCCAAAACCACATTTTTTGGTAATTTTCTATATTGTTCAGAAATGTTCCAAAGAGTGGTTATTTCCTCATCAGTAAGATCGAGTTGTATAGAATGAGATCTCACTTATCTCGAATGGTAAACCGTAAAAGGTCTAACCGTGAGTATCGATCGGATGCAAGGGTGCACAAGATTATCCAATTCCTACGTGTTGTCTACATCAAATTTTTTTTTCATGTGTTAAGTGGATTCACGTGCGTAATAGAACACTTGTTTCTTGCATAATTCATCTTTAACTGTAGGGACACCTGCGGCAGCTAGTTCGATTAGTGGCAAACAATGTGGGAATTGAGGGCATGCCGAGGGTGTGTTTACAACGTCCACAGAAATGTTCGCCGGTCGGGTTAAGGGGGCGCTTCAGGATTTAATCACCAGTTCCCTTCATCGCCCATTGCCCACCGCCCACTTTCAACCGGCTCCTTCCCCCCACCCGCCGCCCACTCGCCCACATCCCCATCGCCCACTGACCGCTGCCCAACGTCCAGTATTATATGAACGAGTAATGTTTAGAAGTACAACGAAATTTTAGATGGATAGGTCAACTTGGTTGTCTGTATCGGAGGCTCTTCTGTATCGTTTGAGTTCGTTACTAAATTGTAGTTATAAATACAGTTAATTATTAAGGGAGACGTCAAGGAAATAATTGATATAGCTGTTGAAATACATTCGTTTAATTACATTACGTTGCACAAGTTCGAATCAGGAGAGATCAATTGATGGCATTTTTTTCCGTAAATGGTGAATGAGATTGCTGAAGCCTTAACAAACTGCCTTGAATGGTCAATTAACGTTTCTTCACGTCACACTTAGGATATGATTACTTTGTATAATAATAATTCTGCCTTATGTATACATCTTAATTTTAGGGCAAACAATCATAATTGTGGTTTGGTGCAAGAAAGGCCAATGTCCTTGTTTAATGATTTTAGGTTTGTACAACCAATGTGTGCATTAAAGCCTCTTCTTTCAGTGCAAGAAAGACCAAAGTCAAACGTCGATCACATCTCCTGATTTCACATTGACTTACATTGGATAAATATTGCTTTGTCATTTCGATGGTGTACGAAAACCTCCCATCGTATAAAAGTTTGAATATTGACTTTCGCCCTTCTTGCACCAAGCCATAAATATAATAACGGCAGAAATGGAAGTCGCTCCCTCCTATCGAATATTGGCAAGTACTAAATTAGTTACATTTTTCTCACTAAAATATATTTTTTAATTGACGACTTAAATAAATGAAGAGGGTTATTTTATAGAGTTTGAGGTTTCCTCGAAGTACATCGATAAAGTTGTCTTAAGTCTTAGTGTATAACGTCAAGTAAAAATGTTATGTTTTGGATTGTTCCAGAATTTGAAACTAACTCGTTTTGAATAATTTAATGATAATGTCTGTACTACAACATGAAACACATTTTTAAGGAATTTCTTATTTCGAATTTTGCGTATGTGGTACTTATGTATTGTGATTTTACGGCAGGTTTTCCTCCTGTAATCGCCCGAGTTTAGCAAATAGTTTGCTTGTATGTAAATTACGATAAATAAATTCGATATATTAAAGAGACATAGTATTCGGAAAGAATTAATTGATTGTGGAACCATTACCTTCTCAATACGAACTTTCTTTTTACTCTATATAACTGTCCCTTTTGATAATTCTAACTAAAACAAGACCCGTTCTCTGATAATCAATAATAAGTATTGGTAATACGACAGGAAACAGAGGTGGAGGTTGTGTTTTAACTTGAAAATCTTGCATTTGACATTTCTTAATTGATTACCATTTTCAGGCATTTCCGCTTTTGTCTAGTGTTCGCTTGCATTTTCCTGTGCCAACAAATGTATTACTATCTTGATTTATTACTATTATTGTTTATATGTCTTTGACATTTATTTTTATAACTCAATAATCTATTTAGAACATGTTTTGGGAATACGTATCTGTAACATTTGTCAATTTACCTAAATAATTGTCCCCCAAAACCTAAGAGTTTTTTTTCTGAAATACTCCAATAAGAGGATTTGTCTATATCCTCATAAGATACGTGTCCTATTTCTCGCACGGTGCATAAACAGTAGGCAAATACGGGCGTACCTCACTAGGGCAACTCGTAAATCCCACAAGAAAGGACCAGCGTGTAATTCGGCTGAGTGCGATGCCAGGCGGCCCGTTCCACCCCAGAGGTCAGACTACCAGGTCCAAGGCACGCGTACTTCGCCCGTCTGCGGAGCAGAAGGTTCAATATTCAGTCCGAGCTAGATTTACGACGTAATAACAAGCAGAGTGTGAAATTTGAGAAATGGTTATGGTTTCATTATGCCCGTGTTGGGCTGGCCCGTTTCCGCTCCGTGAAGGCGCTGAGTCGTCCGTATTCTTCGATCGCTGACCTACTCTACATGTTTTAGAAGAACTTTAGCTTTGTGACCCTTGAAGCAATATCGGGAATCGCTACTAAGAAGATAGTGAATCAAGAAAGGAAACTACTCATGCTACACCATAGCATACGCATTTTCTGATGTGTTATATGGACGTAAAGTTGTTATAATTATACGTATGCTCGACAATAAGAAAATGTATGTCGTTTAGTACTTACTCGCCAAGATGATTGAAATGAAAGGTTTAAAAATTAGGTTTACAAACTAATTATTATTAAAAATCTGAAAATAGAGATAAATATTTTTCTCAAATTATAGTTGAATGTTTCATATTTGCCTAAAATTTTTGCATCTACTATGATCATGAATGTGGTAAGAGCCTAGGAAATCCCGTCATCTACCTTAACTTAATCACGGAATGCATTGTATACATAATTTACATTATGATAAAGTAACTATATTAAAGGCAATAAAATTCCTTTTAATATAATTTTTTTTTATATTTTCCTTCACAACGTTTGCAGGCTAATGTGACAGCATCATCAGGTAAAAAATTTAAGTACAATTTTCGGTTTTCTTATAAAATATTTACATTATTTTGAAACAATCTTACATATACACAAATGCTTACTAGATAGTCAACAATCACCTCCCGTGGTAAAATGAGAGCTAACTTTTTAATTTTAAAATACTAATATTGAACATTTGTACAAAAATCGATTCAAATGGACCAGTGAAAAATTATTTATGGTCCACTAACTTCTATTTAAAGAAATAAAGAAGACGTTCTGTTGAGTAGAAATATCAAACTTCTTTCACAACGAAAACACTTAGTGAAATAAATGGTGTATACTACTGTCGTGGGGGAAGCGCCTAGCAACACGTGAGAGAAGAAGGAACGTATGATATGAGCAGGAGGGGCCCTCCGGGTATAGGTCTTCAAGCATATACGTAAGAGGAAGCAATGAGAACAGGAACGAACCAGGTGACGGCAAACTTCAGTTTTATTGAGCGGCAGGCTGACGGGCAGGCTGACGGGCAGGCTGACGCAGGCTGACGGGCAGGCTGACGGCAGGCTGACGGGCAGGCTGACGGAGCTGCGGCAGGCTGCGGTAGGCTGACGGGTAGGTGACGGGCAGGCTGACACGGGCAGCTGACGGGTAGGTCTGAGGGTAGGCTGACGGGCAGGCTGACGCGAGGCAGGCTGAACGGCAGGCTGACGGGCAGGCTGACGGCAGGACTGAACGGTAGGCTGACGGGGTAGGCTGACGGGCAGCACTGACGGGTGTAGGGCTGACGGGCAAGGCTGACGGGCAGGCTGACGGCAGGCTGGGGCAGCTGACGGGCAGGCTGACGGGCAGGCTGACGGCAGCTGACGCGGGTAGGCGTGACGGGAAGGCTGACGGGTAGCTGACGGGGGCTGACGGTTAGGCTGAGGGAGGTCTGGACGGCAGGCTGACGGCAGTCGCGCTGACGGTAGGCTGGACGGTAGGCTGACGTTTAGGCCTGACGGGCCCCGGCTGACGGGCAGGCTGACGGGCAGGCTGACGGGCAGGCTGACTGGTAGGCTGACGGGTAGGCTGACGGGTAGGCTGACGGGCAGGATAACGGGCAGGCTAACGGGCAGACAGATACAGAAGTAGTAACACGGGCATCTGAAGTAACGCAGTCTTTGCGTGGGTAGTCATAAGAAAGAGCGTCTTCGCAGCGGCTCTCTGAGTGCACTGCGGTCGGGAGAGTGGGCGGGGAGCTGCTAGCAGGAGCTGAGGATCGGACTGGTCTACGCCGAGGAGCGATGACAGGGCCAGTTCGTGCCGATCTGAACCGACGTAGAGGTAGAAGGTGGTCAGCGGGGCCAGTTTGGGCAGATGTGAAACAACGTCGGGCAGCAACGAGGTTGGCGGTGCCAGTTTTGGCCAATCTGAACCAATGTAGGGGTGGAAGGTGGTCAGCGGGGCTAGGTTGGGCCGATACGATGTAGGGGAGGAAGGGGCCATTTGTAGGCGATCTGAACCGATGTAGGGGTGGAAGGAGGTCGGCAGGGACAGTCTGGGCTGATTAAGAAAATTCAAGAACAGTGTCTTTGTATTTTTTGTAACAGAAAAAATGATTTAATGACCAATACATATCATGCTCTATTAAATGAAAATAACTTGTTTGTGAAAATTATCTGCTCTGATGAGAGGAGACAAGCCAATAGCTAAATCGATTGTTTTAGTATTTAATTTATGTCATCATTCTAGAATGTTTAAGTAGCCTATCATTTCCTTCATATAAGGCTTCTCCAATTATTGAGGCGAAATGAAGAACAGTATCTTACAAATGCACCGCCAAAAATTTGTATCGATACTGGAGTGATTCGTAATTGCGAGTTATTCATATTTCGTCCACATTTGACATCAAGATAATAAAAGTATCGACACGGCCGGGTGGAATAGAAAATCGACGGAGATAACCCTTACACGGACGCGTCTAACAACATGAGTGGACACATTTGACTCGTCAAACCCAGAGACCACCTCCCGCTGCAAGCCTTCCCCCGAAGATGAGACCGGGAGAGGTGGCTAAGGCACCCGAGGATGTAACTGCAGTGGCTCTGATTGGGAAGTCCTACGTTCAAGTCCCGATTGTGGCAGGATTTTCGACACTACCTAGATACCTAAGTCGGATTAAGTCGCTGTCTAGAAGATAATTCTAGCGATCGTCTTCTCTCATCGGTAGTTTTTCTGTGGCTTCTCCGATCATTAACAGGCGAATTCCGGAACAGAACCCTAACAAACGGGCCTCGCGATCCTTCCTTCCTCTTAGTTGACCTCCTTTCCTATCCCCACCTCTTACACACTTACATTTACACCGTACTCCACTACCACATGTCAGGAGGCCAGGTTGGAGCTGAGAGCTCGTTCGAGATGGGGTAAATGCCCCGCTGGTGGAAGATTTTTGAATGAAAAAAAAACATTAGCTGATTGCCGGTTCTTAAAAACAAGAGAAAAACATCACCACATTGCGTGATAAAACATGCGCTACCTTACGGGAAAATGGTCATATGAATTGAAGTGCCCGAAAACATTAAATAACCAATCAACAACCTGGTTAATGAGGTTTTCACTCTAAAATCGGTACATCTAAACCTGGGAAAAGGGGTAAACAAACACGCCATTGACATATCGTGCCGTTTTTAACAAACTTGGAGTCGACTGCAGCACAGACACCGCAGTCCCCAAGAAAATTCAGAAACCGCAAAGTCCCTGACAGGACATAAAACGTAAGTGGTGCGCGAAAGAAGACGGAAAATGTCTGCTCTCCCTCGGAAACTAAGGCGAAATTCCTCTTCCTTTCGAAGGTTACTACGTTTCCAACTTCAACAGGCACTACCGTATCTTAAGAAACATTGATCTTCCGACTTTTAACTCGGTGTTTTCTGACATTTTTCTACTCGTTTTCCCGCCGGAGAGGAGATAACTTGCTAACTCGCTGACATTTGCAACTGGGGTTGGAATTGGCCGTGCGCGACGAAACTTTCGGAGACTTTTCAACCGAGACCTTCTGCAGAAGTTCAGAATATAAATTGAAAAAATAACTTAGTCGTTTACACTTGGGTGGATATCCAGATGGCTCTGAGTCACAGTTTATGCGAAGTACAGTGTATTCGAAATGATGTTTTCATTTTCATTACCAGCTGTACCCACTACGTACTTCTGGAGCAAGGGTTTCTCCTGCATATAGGCACTCTATAATAATTACATTTCGGAATTGCAGATTTGTAAACGTAACTAACTCTCGTTTAAAATATCTCATGATTAAATTTTGCTATTTTAGTTTATAGCTTTAGTAAATTCTTGCATTGTTAAGAGAATGTATTGAACTGTTAAGAGGCAATTCGGCAATTTTTCCACACAAAAACTAGTATTATCGAGAACTAGAGGCCAAAGTAAAAATGAATCTTTTTCCCGTATATATTAAATTACTTCCTTTAACACTTTGTGTAATCAGAACTCCCTTGATGCCGATAAATTGATTGATGACAAGAACGTCTGTCCGTTTTTCTATATTTGTCTGCCTGTTCGTCAGCCTGTCTATCTGCCCATCTGACTCTCCATCTGTGTATTTGGCCGTTCGCTTGTCTATCCGGCAACCAGTGTGTGCATTGCCCGTCTTTGCGTCTGCCTGCCTGTATGTCTTAATGACTGTTCGTCTGCCTGTCTGTCCGCCTGCCTCTCTGTCCACCTGTCCGTCAGTTTGTCACCAGCCTAAACCATTCAGACGATATTCTCCAAGATCAATATTCTTCGATCAATCTAGATGCGAGTTCTAAACGCATATATTCATTGTTTTTTTTACATGATGCCTCAACCAAATTTTCAAAATTTTCTTAAAAATCGCTCCAAATTTCTTATTAACCTTTGTTTTAGATTATCTTAACGTAATCACAAGCTAAAGTAAGCTGATTTTTGACAATTACAGTTTCGGTAATTGTGCCATTATAAATATTGTCTATCGCAGCTTTATACGTCCGTTCTCATTTCGTGATTCTACTTTCTTTCCAACGCTTAATTACCGTTAATTCATTACTCACAACTATCTCTTCAATTATCGTTTCGTCACGTCGGTAGTCGCTCGAATTCATTTCACATATTATCCCCCTGACGGTTCTATCATCTGTCCTCGCTGAAGGACAATATCTTCTGATGATTTTCAGTAATCTTCCTTCTTCTCCCGATCGTTTTATTTTTTCATTGTTTCACTAGCAGTGCTATTCTCTCCTTCTTCCATTGCATTACATTGTGTTCTTTTGATATGTCCCAATTATTTATTATTATTATCAAATTATTTATCTATTTAATTTAAATAACCATGTAAAAAAATACGTAAAAAACCTTATGTCCTTTTTACCATAGCGTCATATATTCCCTCAATGTCATGTTCCTTCTTTAATTTCCCCCTGGTTATACAAACGTAACGTCGTATTATGTAATTATTATTCAATTAATTTAAAATAAATATCTCTGAGATATGATAACTGTTTTCAGTGTGGGATGCTAATTCTTGAATGCGTATTTGGGAAATTTTAAACAAAAATAATTTTGTAGATTATTTGCATCAACTGTCTTTTAATAGAATTTGAAAACCTATTAAATGCGTTAAGAAGTCCTAATTTTTCACGATTTATATTGTAATTATATTTCCCGAACGCAATTGTGAAATACGAGTCTTTGGGTTTGAAAAAGGATTGGGCCAAAGAATCGAGCATGATCTGTTCCCTTTCCTTGTTGAATTGCTCCAATTTCTTCTCCTACAGCAAGGTCATGGTTACTTTGCCGTTCCAAACCAATCAAATTCATGAATTTTTACTTTTTTAGACAGCTAACGATAGTTCATAAAGTATGTGTTATTAAAATAATGTTAATAGTAGATGATATATATTGAAAAGTATTTCAGGGGTAAAAGTCCTTTGTTAGCATTTTCTTTTAATAAAAGTTATAAGTCTTGCACTACAAAATGCTGAATTCAGTACACTCAGTCTTGTTGAACTCATGAAAGTTTCTTCAGTATAGGAAGGTCACCAGACTGAAGTGATCAAACTGGTCTCATCACGATATTGGTATTGCTCTTTCAAAGAAATGTGACTACTCTCAGGAAAATGATTGCGTCAAACACAGATTTTCAGTTTTAGAACTCTTAGAAGCTATTACGTACTAACTTTAAGGTATAACATGAAAAATGTAAATTGGGGAAATTATTACAATTTGTATTTTTGTTATATCTAAGTTGAACACTTCTGAGAAGTAATGTTCAATATTACAGACATTTCTATACATTAACTCATACTCGTACGTGTGTGCTCTTTGGATCTGGGTCAACCGGACGTGAGAATCCCTCCACGAGGTAGACGAGAAACAAAGGACAAACTCAATCCCGCAACTCTTTGCGCCAAGCTGTTGCCGAGGTGTCGACACTATTACTTCCTTGGCACTCTTTCATTGTCAAACTGTACTACACGTTACTATATCATTCAAGAAATTAACTAGCAAATGTAGTCGGGAGTTACTCCTGCGTAATTCACAATCATCAGTTTGGCAGGAAAAATGAATGCCCAGTACACCACCCTCTCCCCTCGGATCTCGTCCGGTTCCATCCAAGCTAGTTCCGTCCCGTCTAGTCCCGTCTAGTCCCGTCCCGTCCCGTCTAGTCCCGTCCCGTCCCGTCTAGTCCCGTCCCGTATAGTCCCGTCCCGTCTAGTGTCGTCCCGTCTAGTCCCGTCCCGTCTAGTGCCGTCCCGTCTAGTGCCGTCCCGTCTAGTGCCGTCCCGTCCCGTCTAGTTCCGTCCCGTCTCATCTCATCCCGTCCCGTCCAGTCCTTCACATGTACTTGTGTAAAAAATAGTTACAAACATGTTCTTTTATCTTGAAACTTTGAAATTGTCTCTAAATATGTGTTTAATCCAAAAATGACAAAAATCAGTTACTAATTTTAATTTTTCTAAAAGTATCTTGAAATTTTTAATTTAAACGCTAACTAAAACGCTTTAGAAGCTATTCAGAAACATAAAAAACAGTAAAAGAACTGAAATTGAAGATGCAAATGTAAAAGCACAGATATTGTAATTTGATCACATACGAAATGCATTCGATAGGTCAGAGTGCAAAAACACATTAAACTTCATGCGCCACAAGACATACCTTTGCTTGCAAATTAACGTCTGCATCCAACACGTAACACCGTTACTCCATTTCCATCTCTATCCGCCATCGCGATGCAGCCCACGGACGACTCCGGCGCTCCTGAGACCGGCAGCGAGTACTTCGGAAACCAGCTTACGCGCCGACGATGAAGATGATGAAAAAACTTGCCGAGTACCGCATGCGCTTATGCGAAGTAAAAACCCCGCTCCCTCGTGGCGGGCGACGGGGGCTGCGGCCGCGGGCCACCTGTTGCGCCTGCCGCCCAAGGAGCGAACCGCTGCCCCGGGAGCGCGACCTCTGACCTTCGACTGACCCTCCTGCCTTCCCCCGCACGATAAATCGATTCCTTGACCCCTGAATCGGCGATCCAAGGTCATCCGTCTTCCCACGTAGACGCAGTTTTCCATAGGTTGGTCTTGCTACGGACTGTGGTAATAGCAAATTCCGTGGTACAACATCTACAACAACATCGACTTCTACAACAACATCGACATCTACAACAACATCGACATCTACAACAAAATCGACATCTACAACAAAATCGACATCTACAACAAAATCGACATCTACAACATCTACAACAACATCTATAATATTTGTAATATGCTTTTCAAAGATTTTCTTCGATTCAGAAGAAACAATTTTTGTTTCTACGTTTGGTTTTTTATACATATTTGACCTTTTTCCATTTTTCCTGCCGAAAAGAAACCTGTTCCTGCACGCCAAATGGACACTGAAATGTCATTGGTCTTCCACCCTCATAGCAGTTTTCATTAAATCTCTCTTGGCAGCCCCGTGGGCTTCTGCTTAGCAGCATTCAGTCTTGTAATGCGATTTTTTGTATTCTTAACTTTGTTTTTACTAACCACTTTTGGTTTATGAAAACAAAAGCTGCTCATTTCTTTGCAAATTTGTCTTTTCGGCTTCCTCTTTTTTCCTTCTCTACCTGAAACTCGAATACTTGTTTGTTTTTATTTAATTTATTTACACACAACAGAATACCTGCTTTAAAAGGATGGTTTTCATATAAATAACTACTCACACACATACCAGTACAAAAGTAGATACTAACAGCAAAGTCGCGATTTCAATCAACACAGGAACAAAGGGAAACATTAATAAAAATCGGTCGTTCTTTAGATAAATAGAAACAAGGGATGCCTAACAGGTTCCTCATTATAGTTTGTTGTTTTTCAAGTACATGTGTTGTTTATTCCTTGGAGTATTCACTTTGCAGCCCCAATTTTGTATGTCTGATCTTTAGATCCTCCATTAAAAAGGTAGGTTCTGTACATTGTAATATTTGCATTAATTCATTATTACTGATTGGTTTTATAGGTGGATTATATGCTGTTATGATCTTAAAGTATTTATTTTTAATGTTTTTTCACTATAAACAGTTCAAAATCATTCGATTTGGAAATTGAAATTAATGAGTGATCCAGTTTCTTTTTGATTAGTATAGCTCTTCCCCTGCTGTCGCTATATTCTGTCTTCTCTATAACAATTATATACAGAAATTTTAAATATTTGTCCTGGTACAATGTATGTTTCTGTTATTGATGCAATTGTTATTACATTATATATGGTTATATATTATTGGTAATATAGGCATTAGAATTGGTGTTATGTTTGAATGTTGTGTTGTGTAATAACTGTTTTTGCATATGTGGATGTAGGTGTTTTGTTTGTTATTAAACCCCATTTGAGTAAGTAATGAATTTTGTTTTATATTGGTTAGTTGTGAGTACGTTTGTGAGTGGGTTTTACTTTCATATATGTTTTGTGATTGTGGAGTTTAATATTGGTTATGGAACTGATTTGATTGTTGAATTTCTTTTCTTTTTTGAAAATACTTGCATTGGCTAGAAGTGTCCATATGATTTTTTGAGTACAAATTGAGTGTGGTGGGTTTGCGGATTGTAACAATTCAGTCTTTTGTCCAATGATGTTGTGCGTGATAGCATTTGGGGCAATTGTGCAATAATGTTGTGTGTGCGTAAATAAAGGATTTTTTACATTGAGATGGGCCTTATGATTTCCTTCGTATTTATACTTTAAAAACGCAATGAAGTAGTTCCGTTTAAATATTTATTTTCCTTCAATTGAATTTGTTAATTGTAATGCAACTACTTTAAAGGGTAATTGTTCTCTCATAGTCAGTCTAGTTTCCTTCACTATTGTGTAAATTAGACTTTGTATTTTATTATAAATATCCCTCTCAGTAAATATTAAGGATACCTTTTTATTATAGCTGATAAGATTTGTTTATAATTGTACACTGTATGTATGGCAAGGGACAAATTTTCTTCACAATATTTTCTCGCCAGACTGGAATCTGGTCGTGAAAGAAGTTTTCTTTATGTCCTTTTTGCAATTTTGTATGCATGCCAACTAATATTTTTCTTTCTCGAAGACATAGCAGAGAAAGTTACTTAAAGCAAAAAAATCGATGACATGATAGAGAAAAAAATCACATTTTGGGGTTCGCTGGTAAAGAAAAAGTGTTTTTAGTCTGCCAGTCAATCGGTGAATTCAACAGTCCGTCAGAACAACTCTCTGTGAATTACATTCAAGCTAAAGCCGTCTGCAGTTCTCGAAACCTGATGTTCTCAGATCTATCTGGAGGAACAAATCGCGTTACCTGTACGAAACGAATCTTTTGAATTTAGATTTTATCAGAAAATGTTTTAAACCTTTCCTTTAAAAAGTTGTGTGCCTGTAGTGACTTGAAACTCATATAAAACCGTAATACTTGCTTATCGTATTTTATAGTTGACCCTGCCAACAACTCAACATAAACCACAGATTTATTTATTCATAAAACTTATAGCGCAACTTTATATGTTTAACTGCAATCTACCAGTGAATTAAACCAAAGATCCAATTGATTTAGAAATATCCCTTTTTGCATTATCATTGTTCCAACACTCCAACACTCCAACACTTCAACACTTGCATCTGCATTCACCTTTTCCATCCGTTTCACCTCCCCCGTTTCACCCAAAACCAGTGCTTTAAAAAGCGAATTATCGACGATATATTTAATTTTACCACTAATTGCTAGATGGCATTTGAATTCCGACTAAAATATTTTTTGCCTCAACCGTTTTTGAAAATGTGGGGGTTAAAATGAGTTTCAAAAATGAAGAAACATTTCTTTTAGTAAGGTTATTCAAGGCATTAATTACATTTGGTTTTGCATATTTCTGCAAGACTTCGTATGATTGTAACAAGTAATTTTATCAGCCACATTTAATCCCTATTAACATTCAAGCCTGCAAATTTGTTGAGTGCAGTTGTACCTACTGTACGTTAAGAAATTTAACATAGCAACGTGTTTCAATACGCTTAGCAACGGAAATAAACATCCATCGGTTCATCGCAAGTCAAATGTTTATTAAGAAAAAACATTGCAATGTACAAAACAAATCAGATTCAAACCATTCATAATAAAAGTAACTCGTATTATTTTTTGGGATAATTATTGTTCATTGTAATGTTAATTGTACAATTAAAAAATGTATAGTAGGTAAGTTAACCCCATTATCTGACATTCCATTAAATAAAAATCTTCTCAGGTAGTCAAATTTACTAACGATCTGAAGGTGTCGACACGAAGTCGACGCGCCACCTTTCTCACTGAACCTAATTTCTTTAGGTATTTTTAATTTCAGGAGAATTATGTTTCCATCTTTTCTCGAACCACGGTATACGAATATTTTTTAAATAGATATATCGCAAGCAACGCCTCACAATATTGTAATAACGAGCCGCTGCAACACAATCGATTCAGTTACTATCGCAGTAATGTCTAAATTTCAGAATAAATGGTGACCGATAAAATGCTGATCATACCACGAAATGTTATACTGTTATTACTGCCTCGTCCAAATGAAAAATTTCGGCACCGCTATGCTCCGCCTCGATTTTTAACTTTTGGCCTCTGCAGTAATAACACTCATAACATTTTTGAGTATGTTATTAGTATGATTAGCTCCTGAGTTGAGGGCTGTCAACTCGATCAGAATGTTTGACCAGTTCCCCTGACCCTTCACGTTGGTTGTCGAGAGGCGGATATCCGGCGCGGGAGCTCTTGTATCTTTCAGACCCCGTGAGAGGATGAAGAATAACTCAATGAGGGACTGCTAAGGTAATCCCTTGCTTTACTCCTGAGAAGAAGATGTAACTTGATTATAGGGAAGATTCTCATTTTGCTAGGTGCAAGAGAAATGTTTATTTAGTTACTTAGTCAACTACACCATCAAATCAAATCTGCGCCTCTCTTGGAGAGGAAAAGGAAGACGTTTTCCTGTAGGGCGACCTGCTAAGACGTTCCTGAATCATCGATTAGAGCTTTCTTTATAAGAACATTTCTTAAACACGCTGTGATAGTTTCTTCTTTCAGAACTTATCGGATATTTACTACTAGAAATAGCATAGATTGCATGCAACCCTGGGTGATCCCCCTAAGAGAATATTCAAAGTAGTTGGATGCCAGCCTGCGAATTATCAAATTATAAGGTGATATGATGATGAAAGATGATTGTGACATTTTGGGATCATCCCAGCATTTGTCTGCATAAGGAAAACCACGGAAGCCTGGTCTGAATAGCCAGCACAGGGATTGGTCCCGGGGCTCCCAATTGTGAAGTCAGCGCGTTACGCCCTAGCCACTTCGCCGGGTATGGTATGTTTACCCTCCCCTAAGTGAAACTGTCTTCATGCACAAACACTTTGTAGAAATACCGGAATGTTTTTTTCAGACAAGCATGTCCACAAAAACGTGGAAATCTTATTTTAGTTCCAGTCAATGTAGAAAAGAGATGTAGATATATATTCAGAGAAACGTAGGGAATGGTGAACTAAAGAACGTAGCTGTGTCTTGGTGGAAAGAATCGCAAGTTCAGAAACTGTTCAAACTATATACGCCCATGCCATACTTAAAAACCTGGATATACTATAACTGAAAATTTCAGAAAATAATTGCAATATTTTGCTAAAACATGTAGCATTATTTCTTGATAAATAACATTTTCTTAAATTATTTTTCAATTCATTTTGAAA